CCCACATCGGCACGCTGAGACTCGGGGATGAAGCGCTCGCGCGCGCCTTGTCGGTGATGATTCCGGCATTGCTGGGCTGGCCCTTTTTCTTCTCGCCAGCCATTTTCGGGTGTTCAGCGCGTAGATCAGGCTCGTATGTATAAAATGAGAAACTAGACTTGGGAAGTAGTCGCGTGTTTGGTCGCGCCGATATGTTGGTGGGGATGGTAATCACAGTCGTAGAATCAAAATGAACCGGAGTCCACAGCGTTTGGATGGATCAAGGGTCGAGGCTCTGGGTAGGAAAGTTCAGCCGGGCTTCCGCAGCTTGAAGCCGGGCGTCGCAGAGCGAATTCTCGTTCGTTTTTGGCGGTGCGGAGGTTAGGCTTCGCTGTGCGAGTCGCATTTCGCAGCTGTTGCGCAAAGGAAAATGCCCCGCAGAGGACCATGCACAGACCAGTACGATTCCTCCCCGCTTTCCCGGCGTCTTCAATTAAGGTCTCGGATGGTCATGATCACGGCGTCTGGATTAATGCAGTTCTGGGAACGTTTGATACAAATAGATGGGGGAAAGTACGTGTACTACTGAAAGTGCAAAGAAGTATTTCCAACATGGTGATCATGCCGGTCTGCTGCACTGTAACCTTCAATCAGGCAAGCTGGACAGTGTGGCTTGGGCGCCATCTGGTCTGGGTGACAGACTTGGTGAGTGTATGCTATCAGCGTATACAAGGCATCACTCTACCATGCACTCAACCAGCGACTTGGAAGTAAGCTGAAAGCGGAGTGAGTTTCCATATTTCACGCATGGGGTGATGGCACCGTATGAGTAGATAAGCCTGCAACTGTTTGAGTGCTTGAAACCAAGAAACACGAAACCTATGGATGAGAAAACCCCTGCTTGAAACGAAATAGACATATCTGGCTCGTAAGACAACGTGAAAAACGGCGAGTCCTTTCAACAAGGTCAAGGTCGAGGCCAATACAGTCGCTGTTCGTGGGGTTCGCCTGTACTCCCACATT